GGCCAAATAGCCAGATGTGTACAGAGACTCCAGGAATATAACATGACTATCTGTTGGAAACAATTATCACATGGAAACACTGACACCCTGTCTAAAAGACGCTGTCCAGATTGCTGCCAGTACTGTTCCAGAATTTTAGTGAAATACGAGTGGGTTAATCCTCTCACGCATTAAGTTGCACATTGAACACCATCTGACCAAGACGCATGGAGTAACAAAGAAATCAGGTGAAGACCAGTTGGAAGATGGTGACATTAAACAAGTAATTGACTTAATGGAGTCTCCAGATAAGAAGCCTACATGTCAGGACGTTTTGATCTAGAATCCTGCAATAAAATAATATTGGGCTGTCTGGTACTCACTCCAAATTTGAACTGCTTCTTGTACCAAAATCAGATGCTGGAAAACCATTATAGTGGCAGCTGATATTTCTAACATCTCCTTAAAGAAATACATAGCTCAGCAGGAGACTACTTTGGAATAATAAAGTCTGCCTGGAGTTTGAGAATGCTTCTACTGGAGTAAAGCAAAGGCTGGTATGCAAAAGTGGTGCCAATCTTGTGATTTCTGTGCAGGCTGGAAAAGACTGGAGAAACACAGCCGAGGGAAGCTGCATCATTACATTGTAGGAGCATCTTTTGAATGCATTGTCTTTGACATCCTGGAACCTCTGCTAAGATCTGCAGATAGCAATAAATACATCCACCCTCATTGTCATTGATTACTTTACAATGTGCCCTGAAGCATGTCCTGTTCCTTATGAGGCTGTCACAGTTAAAGCACAGTATTGGATTTCCAGGTTTGGAGTGCTTCTTCAGTTGCATTCTGGTTAAGGAATGAATTTTATCTCAGTTTTAATTAAAGAACTCTGTAATCTTCTTGACGTAGACAAAACCCCAATGACATCTTAATAATCTCTCCATGATGGTTTCCAGAGAGCAACAGGATTTGGACCAGAAGTTGCCTCTGGTCTTACTGACCTATCACAGTGCTATTCACAAGACTTCCAGCTACTCTCCATCTCAGACGCTCTTCAGTCGTGACCTTCATTTGCCCTGTGATATGCTGTTTAGTTCCCTCTGATTACACCTTCATCATGAAAGGAGTACATTCAGTATCTCCGGGCCCAGATTGAAGTGATGCACGATTTTGCACGAGGGTAAAATCACTTGGGACTGAGAAGATGAAGACCTGAGAAACACGAGAGCTACAGGACATCGATACAATGAAGGTGACAAGGTGTGATTATGGTATCTGATTCAAAGGCAAGGACTTTCTTCTAAACTACATGCATTTTGGGAGCCTGCATACATAGACTAAACAGGCTGAATTACATCATAATTGGGATACTTATGTTATCAAATTCTAAGCCTAAAGTTGTTCATTATGACAGGCTAGCCCCTTATTATGGCTATAGTATGTTTTCCCCACAGTGTAGGTAATGTAAATTATATACTAAGACCATGGTCCTATGTGTGTATAAATTTGTAAATGCCTGCATTTATTTTTTCATTTAATATTTTAGTATTGCATTCAGTGTTCAGTTTTTGATATTCCTTTGTTGTATGTATTGCTTCCTGTACAAGGATTGTACTGTCCGTGATGTGTCCATAGGAAGTAAGCAGTGTTACAAATTTCGTATATATGTAAATAATTTTAGTGAAATTATATGAAAATTATAATTCTCTTGCATAACGTAACTTGGAAGGTCTTGGAATGTGAAATATCACCAGAAAAATAGCATTTTCAAAGGAAAGCCCATTTAACATTGAGGTAAATTTGGCAAGAAATTGTGAAAAGTCCTGATGGCATTTGGACCCGATCCCTGTGTAACTGTAATTTATGTGATCCCTTTGTAACTGTAAAGGCCCATCCACACAAGTTCACTCCCGACGTAGTTGCCGTAATTTTGTTATTGCCGGCGTAAATTCGTATTACGCAGAGGACGTAAAACTGAGTTCACTCATGTTCAGCTTTTTTGCCTGCGACGTGAATGAACAGCCAATAGCTGACTAAGTTCTTATCACATGCCATAGTCGGAAAAAACTTCTTGTTTACACTTTTCAATATGGCATCGGAACCACATAGTGATGAGTTTTTTCCGAAGAGATTGTAACTGTCCACAGAAATAAAATCATCAGCATTGTTTACAGCATCCTGAATTCTCTCAAACGATATGGATTGGTATAAATTTCAAATTCTCATTAAGGGGAAAAAATTGTATTTTTATAAAGCAATGATCCGACTAGTGTATCCATATGCTTTACCTATATGTAACACTGTAAGTAATAGGAACCTAAATAAATTACAGTTCCTACGAACTCGAATTTTCTTCCTTACAAAATTCTCCTTAATTATTACAAATATTCGTTATTTCATGTGTAACAAGAAGCTCTATCCCAATATTGAATAACCAAATACTAACTTCAACAATGTAACAACTTTTAAAATAAAGCAGTTGACTGTGAAAGAGTATTCAATAAAATACAGTTACGAAATTTTCGAGGACAGTTACAGTTTAAGTCATACAGCACTCATTTATTGAATATTAATTAAAATTATTCCTGCTGTGACTTCTATTTGTTACATTATTTTCTATAGGAACTGATATCACAGATAGCTGAGTAATCAGCACACTGAACTGCAAAGGGAACGATTGCGAGTTCGGACCTCGCTTGTAGCGACTGTAAAACAAAGTTAGGTTTTTCTCATTTTGAAACATGTTTCTTATATTTAATCGTGAATCATTTTATTCTTATTTTATCTATATATTATTATTGTTTTCATTTCTTATTTTATCTATTATTATTGTGATCTATTTATTATTACTATTGTTTTCATTTCTTATTTTATCTATTATTATGATCGTTTTCAATTTAGTTTAAAAATGTTCACTGTAAATAGAAACCATTAACCCATTATGTAATGATATATATGCATCTCTTGTAAAAATGATTTCTTTATTTTTATCTCATTGCATATTTTATTCTCTACATATTTTACAAAATCTGTCCAAAATTTGAACCTTATTCCAAATTCAGAAATAAATAAAAATAGGAAATAAAAAAAAAAAAAAAATTGGAAGCTTTCAGATTTTATATTACTCCCGAACGGGTGTGTTCCCCCCCCCCATTTACAAGCACATACACATTTTGGGAGCATTTGGGCTGATGGTTACATTGTTGTTAATTGTGGGCTAACGGTTACATTTGTTTACATTGTGCTAAAAGTATGTATATCTTTAGAAATTTTATTCAATGAACTTTTTTCTTCTAATTTATTTGTGTAATAATATATGCAGAATAATCAAATTATAGAACACTTTACTTATTACAGTCAAAAGTCGTTAATTCGGACTCGTCGGGACTTCGGCGATTCCGGATTATCGATTTTTCCAGATTTATAGATCATCATTTAAATCTGGTAAGATGGCATGCAGAAATTATAAAATTAAAAAAAATATGAAACCGTAATTTATGAAATAAAGAACAATTATGATTTAAAGGGTATCAAAATTTACAAAAAAAAAAGCTTAATATTTATTTGTTTACTTATTAAACATTTCTTTCAATGTAAGTTGTTTTAAGTTTCTTTGTTTTTTTAGTGATAATACATTCTGTTTAATTCTATAAACAGACATAATTTCTTGTTCAGTTTTACAAAGTTCTGCTGTTCAATCCTATAATTGCTGTGTCGAGAATACCGACTAATTTGTCAATTGAAATTTTTTCGTTTTCGTTTCAATAACCTCTGTCACTTTCTTCGCTATCGGAAGCGAATTATAATGACGAGGAATTTGATTTAAATCAAATCAAAGACGGAGTACATCGAGATGAAATACTACATTTAGTAAGGAATTATAAGCCAAATAAAAAAAAAATTGCCCTAAAGATAAGGATGGTGCTGACAGATCAACTTCCAATTCATTGCGCTCCGCGGCGTTAAAAATAAACAAAGTTTAGATAAACAAACGTTACAGTTTAGATAAACCAAGGATATGCCTTTATCCATTTTTTGGCAGCAATTCCACTTTTGTTTAATGAACTTTGAAATATACTTTCGCTTTGTAGATCCTTTACATATTAGTAAATATATCAGAAATTCTTTTTGACATATCGAAAGTTCAACAGCTTACTTTTATAAAATTGCTCTAACAGTCTGCAAAAATAATAGCCGGAATCCAATTCGAAGATTAAGGAACAACGCAATCTGCAACATTAACTGAAATAGATAATTAGATAATTTTAGCTTAGCTGATACCATCCATTACACATTAAACGCGCACTCGTAAACGTATTTTGAGCACGCGCACAAGCATATTCGCAGCCGTAAAGGTCTTACGCGCATGCGTCAAAGGAACGCATGCGCAGAAAGTTTGTAGCTTTGAGGTCCGGATTATTGGCATTTTGCATTGAAAACTTTAAATGTCTTTTCAGATTGTTGCCACCAAATATAAGAATCTTATATTATATTTAAAGAAATTAAATAATGAAGAATCTGCATAAATGTATATATGTTTCTTACATTGTGATATAAAAAACAATGGTACCTAGAGCCATCAAATTTTGTATAACGTACGTATCCACCCGAATATGGGCATCTGGAAACCCAAATTTGGAATTTGTTTTATTATCTTTTTCATATTTTGTAAAACTTTAACGAATTTTTGATTAATGAACTCAACGTTTTCAAAGCGTACAATGGCAACGCTGTACAAGAAAACAAATTTTTTTTTTTTATCTCCAGCACGTGAGACTGTGTATTTAAAGATATACTCATTTTAAAATTATTTTGCGATATTGCTGTTGAACTGAATTTTATGGTTTAAGTGCGAAGAGCATGATATTTAATAAATAAAGGTAACACACAAAACGTTAAAAAAATGACCGTTTGACGTAATGTAAAATCTGAAAGCTATCAGATTTATTTTATTTATTTATTTTGTCTGTTAAATGCTCTTGTTAATGAATATTTCATTTATTTCATTCTTTTTATTCCAGAACTTACTGTTGGTTCTGTTTGTGTGTACCCTTCTCGAGTTGCAGAATGTGCACAAGCCTTGGCATCACTAGGACATAAATTACCTATTGCTGCTGTTTCTGGCTGTTTTCCAAGTGGTCAAGGTCATATGTCTGTAAAATGTGAGGAAATCAAAAGTAGCATAGCTGAAGGTGCTACAGAAATTGATGCTGTGATATGCCGTAATTCAGTCCTTCATGGAGAATGGGAAGGTAAATAACCAGCCCTATTAGTAGTCTGAAATCACTTTATAAAATAAAAACCAGACTTCTGTTAATTTCACTCAAAATTTGTTCATCTTTTGTGAAAGAAATGTGTTTTTCAAATATATTAAAACATAGATACATACATACATATTGTCCAAAAAATGCAGCCTTTACTTTTGAAACCATTGTCATATACTTTTTACTATAAAAGTATTTTACATACTGCAAATATTCATATTTTGGCATTTTTAAATATTAAAAAAAAATCAATTTTGAAAAATTTGTGAAGTCTAACATTTTATAGGTCTGTATGGTTAAAAAAAATAACAGCAATGTAGACAAGTGAGCACTTGGCTACCCTCTGCCCCACATGGTCAAATTATGTAAAAAATAAAGTACATTTCAAAACTTCTGATAGATAAAATTTACAAAGAAGGGGAAGAAAGAAAATATTTTATCAGGAAAAGCTGTCAACTCTGATATAGTAATATAATTTTTAGTATAAATTCAAATAAGATCTAATCTAAACTGCTTTGCTCTTAGTGGTAAACCCACAAAGTATGCCAGAACATAGGAGTTAATAGACATGCTGTTAGTTCCCCTTTTTGGTTATAATAATATGAGTAAAGGCTGAAATGGATGCTTAAGAGCAATTTATGAACAGGTTTTTCACTGCTAGAAAACATAATCTGGGAGAAAAGAGAGCATTCATTTTTATTATATTACTGAGAGTCTTAAAAACTGTACTCAGTTTTATTACTTTCCTGATGTTTTCCTTTTGCTGTCTGAGAAAACAAAATTAACATTAAAAAGATTAGTTTGATCACTTACCAATTATTGAATATTTAAGAAGTTGTAAAGTTACACTCTTTAAAGTTTAGCTTCATCTGAAAACTAGTCTGACCATCTCTGCTTGACAGAGAATTCTTGACCTGCTTTTTAACCATTCTATTATCAGATCACTAAGTAAGTGCAACATGTTGAAAGAATTAATGATTTAATTGCACTTTGGCTTAAAGTTATGGAAATAAAACAATTAGCAAAATTAATTTTTACTACTTGCAGGATAGGCAGACAACAATAGTTCAAATTATTTACAAGGCGAAGTATAAATTTAAAAGTCTGACAACCTGGCTTTCCTATCCCATGAATACTAACTTAATTACAGTCAAAGATGCTCACTAGGTGATGGCAGCAGTTCTAAAGGCAAGCAGTAATAAAAAGTTTCCTCAAGAAGGTTGAGGCTCCCAGTCCTCTTAGAGTCTCACTCCTTATTGAAAACTCACTTCATATATATATTCTGGTGAAGTAGACAAAACGTCAGAAATGCAGGAGAGATTTTAACATAAATAATGTAGTAATTAAAATAAACCTTACTAAATGAAATGCTGCTTCATATTTTGCATATTTTGAGGTTATCTACAATTTGTTGCATTAAATCATTTTTCTATTTGAATTATACCCGCAAATGTACAAAACATTAGAAAATTGCTTTTTGGTTAGGTGAACTGTGTAGATTTCATTTGTTTTGTGTCATAAATTTTATTTTCTAATACAATTTTTTCTCTTTTTTTTTACTTATTTTTGATCAAACCTTTTAATTAAGAGTAATTTTTTGGCAATTTAAAAATTTGTTCAGTCATCTTTCTTTAAGCCACAAATTTTTTAAAGAATATCCACCAGCTTAAGAAATTTTGTTGCTTACATTGATTAAGAGTTGCTGTAGCAAAGGGTAGTAATATAATAATTTCATTCAGGTTTACTGTTTTTAATATTTTATACTGAGTCCGAAGTAAAGACAGATTTCAATCCATAATTGATCTATATTAAAACATCTTTTAAGTATTCCATTCACAATCGAATCTAATTAGGCAATGAACAATTATTTTTGTTATGCAAAAGTTCTTATTTTAAAAGAAAATATATAAGTTTCTGTTAAAAAAATTATTTGGTACCAAGAACTGTGAGTGCCTTTGTTTATCACGACTATAATTCACAGTCAAAAAGTCACACTTAGCACAAAATTAAGAGAATTTGCACATTATCTGGAATTTCTGAAAAATTAATGGACAGATTTTAATGAAATTTGGTATGAATATACATTTATGACTGAGAAGAGATGGGTCATTGAAAAGCCATTTTGTAAACTTATGATTGTCAGTAAAGCTGATAGTACAGGATGTCTAAAACCCATGCTGTGATATTGAACTGAAAATGAACTATAGCCCCTCTCACAGTCAGACAGGTCTCGCAGCATGATGGCATGCTGGACAGGAGGCAGTTGATTGTACTCCTGCAGCAAGGCAGTTTTCAATCTGGGGTGATTCTTGGAGGGGGCTGATGAGATGAAAGTGCCCAGAGCATTCCAGACATGCTGTATAGTATTAAGCTTCAGGAGGTCTGGCCAGCCACTCTATCACCAATCAGCTGAGCCGTATGTGGACGAGCATTGTCATTCATTAACAGGAACCCCAAACCAAATGCACCTCTGGATAGTCAACATAATGCTCATAAGATCCCTGTATACCTCATAGCAGTCATGAAAGCTTTCTGTAACACATTTAGAGCGTGCGCCATCTAACATAATGTATGTCCAAACCATTACACCTCCATCACTGTAATGATCCTTTCCTCTGAATGAGGGAGGGGTGGTATTATGTTTCAGGCTCTGTCCAGACACAGGTATGCAAAAATTTAGTGTCCAGACTGAATATAGACTCATCTGTAAAGATCACTGTGTTCCACCTAAGTCTTGTGTAAGGTTGTTTGAACCATGCTAAGTATGCTCTTTTGTGTGCTGTAGTCAGCAAGACACAAGCATCAAGTTTTTGGCATACAGCCCCATCTCTAGAAGCTTTCGGGCAACCGAAATTAATAAATTATATTTTTGCATTATATTTTTGCAGAATAATCACAATTTTTTTTCCTAATGAATTCAATTCGTAATGAAATTTAAGAATTCAGTCCAATTAAAAAAGTTCTTGTTTTTGTGAAGTCCAAATGACTGTGACTTTGCAGAGAAGGTTTTTCTTACTTTTAATACAAAATACAACAAATAAAAAGCTTTTACTTATCTTGATTAATTATGACAAATCTAAACATTTTATAAAATACTAAGTTTCATATTTATAATCTATTTTTTTAACATTGTAAATATTGTAATGTTTTATGTTTTATTAAAGTAAGGTTACATTGTTATATTTCATTTCCAGTTCCTTATTTTACACAATCTGAAGGTTCTATATTTCTCCAGAAACAAACACTTTTATCGGATTGGGTATATTTACCATAACTAACTGATGGTTACTGTGCCAGTGATTGAAGGGGTGCAATTATTTGTAAAGGCTTCCTTTGCTTACAAAAGATAACTCTCCTTTGAAAATTGCTTAAATCATTCCAAAACAGAAAAATTATAAGTCAATTTTAAAAATATTACGTTTTAGCCTTCAACCTTTCTCATATGAAAGGGTGAAAGGAATAATTACTGAGAGTTACAAATACACTCCTGTGACTCTGAACCAGTAGTTCATACAACATTCAGTATTCTTAACTTTTAAGTTGTTCAGTAATTCACATATACTATAATTTCAAATTCACACATACTAAATTTCCACATACAGTGGTACCTTGACATACGAGTTTAATTCGTTCCGTAACATTTCTCGTATGTCAAATTGCTTGTATCTCAAAGCAATTTTCCCCATTGAAATTAATTGAAATGCCATTAATCCGCTCCAGTTCCCAAAACACCACCTCAGTTGTTTTTGTTAAGTGTTTTTGAATAAAAAATGTATTTACAAGAAGAAACATTTATTTATAAATAACAAATATATATTCTATAAAAACATAATTAAAAGAAAAAGTGAAGTGCTTACCGGAAGCGCTTAATTTTCATGTCACTGGTCTTCGCCTTTTTGGTCATGCTTTGCTCATTTTCACCTGCATATCGTTTAAAAAAACTGTCCAAGGAGGTTTATTTCTTCCTCCCTTTCAGGATATTGCGGAAATGAGTTAGGCAAGTTTCGTTGAACAACTCCGAATCACGACCAGTTGCAACTTTTTCGAGGTGATTTTTATCCACAAACTCTACAACTTTCTCCCACATTCCCAAGATCTCCTTTATATCTCTTGTAGGGATAACCTCCTCCATCTCTGGCTCCTCTTCAAAACTAATGTGCTTGAATTTGTTGAACTACCGTATGCTGCTGCGAATATAGATTGAGTAACTTCTTGGTTGTCAGCTCCTGAGGCAGTTCCTCGACGAGTTCGTTCACATCTCTCTCATCCACCTCCAGACCCTTGGATTTTCCCAGAGAAACAAGTCTAGTCTGAGGTGGGAGAAACTGTTAGACGCTGCACACGACACCAACATGCGCGTGCATGTTGCGGTCGTGTGCAATGGTGTAGTGTGCGATTCCTCGTATATCAAATCTTGCTTTCATTTCGAAGCAAAATATCGCTCCCTGGGTGGCTCTTATCTCAAAACACTTGTATATTAGGGCACTCGTATGTTGAGGTACCACTGTATACTATAATTTCAAATTAATTTTCCCTATACATTTTGGTTTTCAAGTACTCTGCTGTATAAGATATTTTCTCTGTCCTTTCTGCATGCCATCGTGGTTTAACGTTGTAGAGACATTAGGTATTTTTTTAAAGCAGGAGTCAAGAAAAATGAGCAATGCTCTCACTGGGACTTAAACTATGAACCTCTCAAATACACGGCAAGCATGCTGACCATTACACCATGAAGGCATGCAAAGACGGCAGGAGAAATACTTTATAACGGTAGCACACTCAGCTTGTATTCGAGAGGTCTAAGTTCGAGTTCCGATGAGGATGTTGCTCATTGTTGATGTTTCCAGCATCGAAATTACCTAATAGCTCTACAGTAGCACCCAAACTAAAAAGGTAGTTGATGTTTTTCACCACCAGGATTTGGCAATTAGGTCCCCTGTTTCCCAGTTGCCTTTTGAAAGGGGGAGGGGAGTGTATTAAAGTATTTT